GATGATACCAAGTTGAACTTTTGTATTTGCCAGAAAAGAAACACACCATACAGACCAACTTTTTAGATGCACAGGCAACAGTTGTGTTAAACAGGGGTGGTGGTGGTGGAAATCTTAACTCTATTTACCTTTTGATCTCCTTGGATCATCTGTAAATCCTTCAGTGACTTCTCCAGTTTGGACTTTTCATCTAGTGCAGCTGTAGCCTGTGATACATCGAAACCGTAAAACCTCAGAAACGTATTTTAATAGAAAACATGAGAATAATAACCATGGGATTCTTATTTAGATATTGTTTAATATGTAAACAGCATTAAGTATCCAAGCTTACAGGGGATTTACCTGTGTTTCTATGGTCTTCAGTCTGGTCTTCAATTTTTCATTTTCTTCTTGGAGACAAGCAACTGTCTTTGGGTTAACAAATAAGAAAAAGTTTGTAAACACTCTTGTGCTATTTTTAATTTTCCAAATATTTCAGGAAAGCAAACAAGCTTCTAAATGCTTAGAAAAATAGCCTTCATAAGAAATCAGTAATCAATTTATTTATTGTGTTTTCTACCTCATTCAGCAAGAATCAGTCTCCAGTTTTACTGTAATATATAGGACCCTTCACTTAAATTTGGCACATGCTTTACTAAACTGAGATTAGTGAGCTCAGCATCTTGTTAGTACCAAGACTCACGATAAAGAAAATTGCATGTTCAAAGACGTAAACCTCATTGCTGCTCATAATTTGTATTTTCAATCAACAAGTAAGTCAGAATTTATTCCTAGTTCCTGCTTAAAAGAGACAAATACCAGGTTACTGTATATCACGTTTTGTGTCACAGGCAAAAAACATGCTTTATCAGTCAGAGTAAATTCACCATATAAACTTTGAATTATTTTTGAGAAAAAGAAGACATCAGATGCACATATTCAACAAAAACTGTCATGAAACAGATTTTGAAATTATTTTTGAAGGAGAACTACATATTGATCTGTAAGTAAAATACAAAGTCTGAATTCTTCAATGCTTTAATTATCTTAATGGGTAACAACAATTTGACTCAGACACCGTACTTGACAGACCATTTTCGTAATGCAGGCTATAAGACAGAAAACTCCTTGCTAAATATCTTGACTGCCCGTGACTTAGAAGTGTATTGTAAGAAGTGTGGCATTTTTAAAAAGCTCAGTTGAACTAAATGGGTTCAATACCTAATAAAAATTCTTTATAACCTTAAATACTAGAATGTCTTGTAATTCCGAAAATCTTTATTGAGTTGAAATTAGATGTTTTCAAAACTAGTAAATTCTAAATTCTTTAAGTATCTGCTTCTTTAGGAGGAATTTAACCAACTAACAAAAGAAAAAGACTGAATGTAATAGGATTGACTTTGAGTGACTGAGAAAATGTTCGATAACAATCATTTCAGTCAGCTACATATTTCAATTTGCTTCCTTGCTGGAAAGCCAGCCAGCTGCACAGAACAAAATGAATACTGTTTTCTACTAATTTACCTCATTAAATGCAAAAATAAATAATTGCAAAGGCTAAAATGTCTTTACAAAAGGAAGGCCAATATTGCAATACATGTTAGAGACCATAACTGCACAATAAATTTAAGACGTTTTACAGTATTTATTAATTTATTAGAATTTTACTTTACATTCTGGGCTGCGTTACCTCGATGCCTATGTAGCGACAGGCACGTTACACAGATACCACTGTACAACTACCCAGTTCAGTCAAATAAGCAGAATCGTCATTAACCACAACTGCACGAGCACACAAGTACTTACCTTGTTTAGCAGCTCTGACCCACCTTCATTTAATGGAGTCAGTTTTGGTTTAATGAAATCTGCACTGGGCTAAAGAATTAAAGGTTAAAAAATTAAATTTATAGATTTCTAGGAAGAAGAAAAGTATTCCTTTAGTCTGTAAAATAACCATTAACAGTCAATTCAGCTTTCTTTTGTAAAGCAAATCAATGACCTTTTATTTCAAGTTTATTTTTTACTGGTACTTTGGCTCCTAAGTTATATACTTCACTTTCAGCTAAAGGTAAACAAAAATACTGCATAGAGACTTAAGAGGATTGCAAACTTGAATTTACAAAAGACTACCAATGCTGCAGCAACCAAAAGACAAAAGAGTATGGAAAACAGAAAAAATATTTGAGTTATTGCAAGAGTAAAAAATATTTACAGAGCTCAAAATAATTTTATTATTTTAAGTATTCAAATAAAATATACATTAACTAAATATATATTTACGCTACAAACCAAATAAGGTGCAATCATAATCATACAAGATAAGCTAGAGTCATATCTGTGTTGTGGAACTTCTCAGCTCATGACTCCACCTTGAGACAAGTCATGTCCCAATCTTACCCCACTTTCCAGGAAGAAAAGAACTCAGGAGCAGATGCTCCAACACCCCCCTGGTCTAGCTGACTTTGGGACGAGGATTATGAGGAATGCCCCAGGTGTGCAGAATCTGCAATCTGGACACAGCCATGGCAATTCCATGTGAGCCTTGGTGCCAAACTACAAAATGCTATTTTTTTTAGACTTTCAAAGATTGCTTTGAAAAAGTACAGCGTTTTTGTTTTTCTTTTGTCTTTCTCTCTTAAGCACAAAGAGTCAGGACTAAGTATTTTAAACATCTGTCATGACTCCACATAACATTTGATTATGATTTGATTAAAACAAAACTCTACCTTCTTGTTCGAAGATGTAAATTCTGATTTTTCAAATTCAGCAACCTGTTCCAACAGTTCTCTTGAAAAGAAAAATAAAGGGAGGCATTCATTTACTAAAATAGCTATGCTATGAAACGTATTTGACCAGGCTGATGCTATGTTCTTTATTGCACGTAAAATTCTCATTAGAAGTACAGAATGAAGTCCTATGCAAATACAATAAATGCAACAGATCATGTCTTGCAATGGTATGATATATGCACTAGAACCGTAAGATTTAGCGTCCTTGGTTAAAATATAATCTACTCAGACAACAAAGGCTTTTTAATCAAACCCTACCACCTTCTCTTAACTGATTAATTCAAGTAAGAGTATTGCCAATAAAAACATCTTCCTGACAAATTTGAAATAGTTGTGTATCTTGCTACTTTATCGGTGCAAGACTTGAAACTAACCTATAATCGGTACAGTAGTAAAAGAACAGCTTTCTGTGATTAGGAAACGAATGCAAATAGACGAGATTTTTAAGTTTTCTTATTATTGAAAGGCATTCTGTATAGTCCAATATACGTTACCGATTCTCCAATTCAGAGACATCTGTCTGTAACTTAAGGTACCATTTCTGAGCCTGCGAAAAGAGCTGCCGCAGAAGCAAAACATTGGTGTAGGTTGTATTTATGAGCTCCGATTCCACTTCACTGTGCACAACAGTCTGCAGTCCGTCCAGCATGTCTATCACCTCATCGACTGTGAAGGTCTCCTCAACAAGTCTAAACAGAGCAGTCAACATGAGTCATGTATGATAAAGCTAACAATTTTGCATTGTTCTGAGACCTCACTACACAGGTATCATTATATAATGCAATGTCCTTCTGAAATCATGCACTATCAGTAGTTATTAGATGACCATGGCACTGCTAATTGGTTGTGGTATTTAAATTTTCTCTTGGAAACATTATAATCACAAGTATTACTTCTGCTACAGTCTTACAGAAAATTTAGAAGCAAGACATAAAGTAATGTCATGCTGTCTGTATCTATGTTAATTCCTGAGAATTTGAAAAACTTCATTTTAAAAGGACTTGACTTGTAACATTTGGAAAACTATAGAGTCTTTCTTCCACACTAAGAACATATAAATGTAAATGAAGAAAAGTCACCTCATAAAGCATTTAAATGTGCAATCGCTGCTAGTGTATTTTGCTTTATTTTTATTCAGAACCCCACCCCCTTCACCTGGTACCTGCTGTCCTTGAGGTCCTGAAAACATGAATCCACTGTTTTGAGACGCAGGCCACGCTTGAAACGAGCAAAACGCATGTAGTTGATCACTTCATTCTGGTGGTGCTCATTAAGGCCTAGCTCTGCCTGCGGATAAGGATATATGCACAAAGATAAACACACACTGAAATAAGTAAAAAAGAGCACAAGTATTGTGAAGACTTACCTTCCAACTAGTTTCTGTGTTTGCTTTCATAGGGTTATCATCTTAACTAGTATGTTAAAAAACAACCAAATTTTCATATGTGTCATTCCTGTATACCTCATATAAGCGCTCCCCCTTTAGAAGCACCAATACTTGAAAGTAAGTCCTCAAATGACCAGTACCCTGAGAAAAGTCATACAAAATCAGAGACAGAGACAATTAGAGGATGAGAACCAGAATGTCTGTAGGGGAGAGGAAGCTCTTGGATAAATTTGTCTTTGTATTACACATACACATGTATAATGTAGCTGAATGATGTATCTTTTATAGACGTACTAACAAAAATATATCAGAAAGTACATTATCATAGAATCACAGAATGGTTTAGGTTGGAAGGGACCTTAAAGATCACCTAGTTCCAACTCCCCTGCCATTGGCAGGAACACCTTCCACTATAGCAGGTTGCTCAAAGCCTCATCCAACCTGGCCTTGAACACTTCCAGGGATGGGGCATCCACTTCTTCTCTGGGCAACCTGTTCCAGTGCCTTACCAGCCTCATTGCAAAAGTTTTCTTCCTTATATTTAACCTAAATCTCCCCTCTTTCAGTTTAATGCCACTGTCTCTTGTCCTACCACTACATGCCCTTGTAAAAAGTCCCTCTCCAGCTTTCTTGTAGGCCCCCTTTAAGTACTGCAAGGCTGCTAGAAGTTCTCCCCAGAGTCTTCTCCAGGCTGAACAACGCCAGCTCTCTCAGCTTGTCTTCATAGGAGAGGTGCTCCAACCCTTGGATCATCTTTGTGGCCCTCCTCTTGACTCACTCCAGCAGCTCCATGTCCTTCTTGTGTTGGAGACCCAAGAGCTGAACGCAGTACTGCAGGTGGGGTCTCACAAGAGCAGAGTAGAGGGGGAGGATCACCTCCCTCGACCTGCTGGCCACACTTCTTTTCATGTTATGTTTCTTTGTTAGTTTATATGTAAAATCTTGAGATTCCAACATAATCTTAAGTGATAATCCAAATTTGTTTCTCAACAGCCTATTGCCAGAAACAAACATTCCCAGGGTAAATTAAAAACGAATCATTTTTGATCTGGCTAACTAGCCCTTCTATGTCTGTCTTGATTTCAAAAGAAGGAGTATTGGCATGGCCAATTACACGAGTATAACTCTTGCTAGTGCAGGTAACACAAGTCACAAGGAGGCACAACTGGGGACAAATGAGAGTTTACAATCGCAGTCCCTGGAGAGCTGATGCAAACATGGTGAAGTCCATTTCATTTACTCCAGTGTACTGAGTTATTATTGCTGGTGTTGGAGACAGCAATGTAGCAACTCAGACAAAACAGTTAATCTGACCACCTTGTACTTATTAATCCAACTGCGGAGGGTAGCTCCAGCTAAAACACAGAACTGCGACAGCTGCTTGAACAATACTGGAAACGTAAGCACAGATCTTGACTGCCTGGAAATTAAAGGCAGTCAGGAAACAGCACCAGCAGCAAATAAAACAAGCTCTCAGAACGCCATTGCAAGTCCAATGTCTCCCACAAAGTTCCACATCTTGCAAATGAGAGAACATATGAAAAGCTCATTAACATTCTCTTTGCTGTCGCTGTTTTGTTTTTTTTTTTTTGGTGAAAAGCTTCTACTCATTACAGACAGAACGGAAGGCATACACTAACACCAGTGCTGAAATCTCACAATCCGGAGACCAGCTACACAAGGACGTTAAACTAATCAATAAATACGTAAGCACAAGCCAAAGCCACAGGTGATTTCCAAGAGCAGTTAAGCGACTGGGGCACTGGATCCTGCAAAAACCCCAAGCCCAGCTCGTCTCCGCAGGGTCCGACAGGGGTGGCACGCATGACGACGGGCCGCCTCTTTTCGCGGCGCCGGCGGCCCCCCCCCCCCGCCCAGCCTCGGGGCCGGCCGACGCGGAGAACCTCCTCACGGTACGGCGCGGCTCGGCGGGGCTCTGCCCCGCGGCGGGGGCAAGGCTGACCAGGCAGCGACGCCACCCTCCGCGCAGAACTGACGGCCGGAGGCGGCTCCGCTACTCACCATGGCGGCCCCTTCGCCGGCGCTCGGACGGCGA